GTCTGTCAGCCATTTTGTTTTAAGTGACTTTGGGTCTCCTGTGTTATCAGGCCATGTGGCCATTTTTAAGTTCGTAAAGCATCATGGGGGACTGTACGCGACGTTGATAGATAGATTGATAGATTGAAGAAAAGGTAGAACTTAAGTCTTGCCCAGGCCTAAGACCTGCGCCCGACTAAAAATTCAAACAAAATCTATTTTTTTAATGATCTGAAAGAAAGATGGTTCAATTTCAACTACTCCCGCCTTTTTGTCCGCGCTCGCTCCTTATAGCACTTGACTTTCCCGCTCTTTTCCGAGTTAACCGTGAAGTTGTTTTCTCATACTCATTAATTATTTATGAGGTATCCAGCCAATCCCTGATTGTAATTTGTCTTCCAGCAAGTGCTTTTCTGCATTATTTCAAAAATCACATGTAGATGTCATTTGCATACCAGTCTGAAGGGAAAAGTAAAGTAAAGCTTTAATTCAGATTCAAATCAGTGAATTAACGAAGATATGATATTTCCATTCAGCGAAAGCAGCACACATTCCGTTCTAGTTTTACCTACATTTTTCTAAAATAATGCATGCAGTTCAGCTTTTGAGAGGCATGCACCCTTTAATCCTAACAAACACGTAGTTTATGCTTCATCTAAGAACTCTAAACAAGCAATTTTGTTTCACAACGACCGCCGTCGTCCGCCATTTTTTACCTTTTGTCAAACTTACTAACTTTCGTCTTTTGTTCAAACGTGAACTTTTATTGGCTGGTTGAAGAAAAAAACATTAAAATTTTTGAAGTAATGAAAAACCATATTTTGAACGTACAAATTATATTCAATTTCTAAAGTTTAAAGATATTTTAGCAGAAAAAGTTATTTTATTATAAGTAATACCATGACACTGAGGGATATTAGGAATTAAATGTCCCCGAAACCGAGGTGATTTAGTGGAAATCAATTCTAAATCTCCTAGGTTGAGGAGACATTTAATCCCTAATATCCCGARTTGATTGAGCAAAATGATATACATTCGAACGACTCGAAATTTTACGTTAAGATTTTATTGAAACTTCGTCAGTATATCAATTATGTTATTAAGAAATGATTCTGAAAAAATTATTACAATCTCTGCGATGAGTTTTGAGAAAATTAACTTTGAAGAAAAATGAAGGTGTTTTTATCACTGTTACTTCTGTGAAAATGTTTTTCTGTGAAAATTTTGAGTGCAATGGAATCGAAATTTGCGACGTAGTTGGAGTTTAAAAATACACGCGAAGCGCTATTTATTACGATCGAAACACCTTAACTCATAGTACTGTACTTTATCCTTTTCAGTAAAAGGAGTAAACTTTTTTGGACCAAGAAGCGAATTTGTTGTTAGTGGAAGTGACTGTGGACACGTTTTTCTTTGGGACAAAGAAACGGAGAATGTTGCAAACTACATGAAAGGCGATCAAACAGGAGTGGTAATATATTTGTATAAACAAGGGAAATATTTTCCACTTTAATAGCATAGTTAACAGCTATGATCATAGCTCACATCAACATGAATATGACAATGTCATCAAATAAGCAGGACGTAGAAGRAACAAACATTCTGTCAGCCTATTGAACCGATATTGTTCAGTTGGTATTGACATTGTAGATTTGGTAGTCAGCAACTCCTAGTATTTATAACATTCAAGTATTTACACACTACATTTGAGGAAATATGATYAACTTTATATGACTAATCACGTATGTTCAGCCTTCTAATATTAAAAACATTAAATTTGAAGTTTTKTAGAAAATAGATTTGGTTTTTCTTAGGTGAACTGTCTTGAACCACACCCTTTGGCTTCTATCTTGGCCACCAGTGGCCTGGATCACAATGTCAAGATTTGGGCGCCACTTGCATCGGAGCCAAATGATCTATCGAATCTCAAAGAAGTCATCGATGCTAATAATAGTGAACGTGAAGATGATAGATCAAGACCACACGACCCAATTAGTGAACATCTAATTTACCTAATGRTGAATCATGTACATCAGAGTTTAGGAGTGAGTTTGCATACTGCAATTTATTCCTACAGACTACAAACACTTAAGATAACAACCACGAATCCTTTTCTAAATCATAAGCAACAACTTATACAATTCTTTGTTGCTTTTTTAGTATGACTTATCTGATWTATCTACGAGCCCCACTTCTAACAATTTGCGAACACAGTAAAAAACACCGTCTCTTTTAAAGCACCATAAGCAACATACATTCCTTTAACCAGGGACCTAATTGAATACAGGCTCATTTCCTTTAACCAGGGGCTTCATGGAATGCAGTCTCATTGTTTTTACAACAAAAACACCATGTGATCGCATCAGTGAAAATCTTTATAATATTCGTAATAACGATCTTAATAAACCTGTTTCACGTAGAGTGGACATACTAAATCCGTRAAACAAATAGTACTAATTAATAATAAATAGTGTTAATTAGACAATAAAATACAAAGGAGTTCAGCTTATTTAAAATTATTATATACTATTTAACTTTCACGGATTAAGTGAGTTCACTCTAACTTTAACTTTAACACTAATTTACCTAACTTTCTAACTTCATTGTCTTTTGTCTTTGATTAGCAACAATGATTGTCTTAAAACTAAAGAAATGCGGCTTATTCACTTATTGGACACGTTTAATGCCAATGAACGCTTTGTTTTCAGATAATGTTTTAAAATATCTTTTGTTCTCCTTTTTAGCACCTCCTTTGTTCTCTAAAAATATCTTACTTTTATTGTTTATTTCCCGTTACCATGCCTACTTTGCTCCAATTGGTCTACTTTTTTTGCTCCTTTCATTATATAAACTCACACTTAGCCCAGTTTCATTCCTTTATTCCGATGAAGGATTAACGTCCGAAACGTCAGTAAGTTGTTTCACTTACTTTTTTACGGTCGTTAAAATTTATCTTATTGCACACACTATGTGAACCATACAACATTTAATCAATTTGATTGTATATTTTCTTTTTAACAGGGAAGAATTGCAGGAGGTGAAGGGGACAGCGACAGCATTGATTTTAGTGGAGACGTAGATGATGATGGGGATGACAATGAAAATAACGACAATGATGATGATGATGAATCTCCAGGAAGAGTACAATGTACATCATCTTAAAGCATATGCTCTTTTATATAATCTTGTTACATTACTGTAAATATGTTATACTAAAAATATATTTATGTACATGTAAACCATGTAATATATATCTCTTCTTTTCGTTTGAAAAGAGCATCCCAAAGTCAACAACTTCTTGAAGCAAAGTAGACTTGCTTTCATTAAAACATATCAGGCTCTCTCAAAATAGATTGTTTAGGAGCGACAACGGAAAGAGCCTGACACATCTCTTTTGTCTGCTGGTTGCCGAAAGCATTTTCAAATATTTGTTGACTAGGGCGAATATTCCATAGGTTTTTGTCAAAATAATTGGTGAATTGTCTAAAGAACTTGCCTAAATTAATATGAGCCGTCATGAATGGATAGATTTGAATCCGTCGTGAACTTAGCTGAACTTTATTAGAAATTCAGTTTCTGAACCTTGCAGATCATCTTAACAAGGGGCCGTTTGGCGTGCGCATGCGCCAGTCTGTTGAAAATTCATTGAAATTCATTAGTGATTCACTTCAAGCGAGAAATTACAGCGACACGAATGACAATTTCCAAAAATGTTTTTTGCTGTTTTTGAYCCTGAAATGTTCTGTCATGACTCAAGAACACTCATAAATAGTGTAACCTACAGCGAGGAAAAACACTGGCGTTATTGGACTGATTGGGACCGTTTAAAATCTTATTTAAGAAATGTTGATATTAATGACTTTGTGTTTCCAATATGGRGGCTGCAGTGGTTTATATACGCAACTACTATTCCAATTTTTGCTGAGTGCTGGTCAAGATTCAACGCAGGTCATGAAGTAAATGGTAAATGTACACATGTAGTAATATAATTAGGCATCGTTTAGTAACATCGACCTCGAAATGTTCGAAAGACAGTTTCTTGAAGTGTACAATATTTACGCTTAAATATTAYTAACTGTTACATGAAATACTACTTTCCTTTTATATACCACCAGGACTCATTAGAATAAGGCTACCAATATCAAGACTTATKCTTTGCAAATGGTTTGATAATTTTTTCTTGTCTATGAAAAATGTGGAACGGTGTTAATTTTGCAAATTCTTACGTGCTGTTGAGCACTCACGACAGATTTAGCATTCTTTTGGCTGAAGAGTTGAGCTTGTTTGAATCAAGTTATCATAAATATCTATGTGTAGTTCTATAGCTGTATCATTATAACTTATGATATAAACTATTGCAGTGCAATCGATTCACATCTTAGGAATTTATTATTTCTAAAGGTGTGCACAAATAATTCACTACATTTTAACGGTACAAAGTGGCTTCGTGTTATAAATCTAGCCCGAGACTCACAGTAATTTATATAAAGTTTGAAAGATATTCGTGTGCATTGTAAATATATCTACTTGGTTTTGTTTGRAAAAATGTGGAAGATAAGTGAAAACATCAATTATGTTCAGAATCGAAGCTTCCGCAGCTACTACAATGTTATTCTACCCGTATTCTAGAGCCCATGGTCGTTATAACGCAGCGGTTGCGCGCATGCTCATGCATAACGGCMTCTTGTTACAAGGGGCCATTTCAATGCGCATGCACGATACGCTTGAGCTACCTTGGTCGTTCTCGGTCGAGATGTTTACATAATTTACGTTTCATTCTTCAACAACTAATTGATCAGGTTCAAACGCCAAGTCTAGTATCGAATATGTGTTGAAATCTGAATATGAATCTTGAATATCTGGTTAAAATATGGTTAAAAATCATACAGGGTGACTGACTTGGAGAAGATAAAATGGCGACTGAAATGTGGTCAAAACCATACTTTGTCGTTGGTTTATCTTGTGAAACAAGACGCTCTGCTGCCTGTTCTTATAGCCATGTTCTTATAGCCATTTGGCTTTATGCGC